TTTAAGTTTTTAGATCCTCCATAAACAAGCTCACTCTTCATATACGTAACGGTTTAAGCACATATACTTTGTGCACCAGCTAAGTGTCGATCGATGGGATCGAGTCATTGCGAACCGCAAGAGCGTTGCTGTCACGCAAGCGCGTTTCAGTCACTCAGTGGTACCCAAAGGCTCAAGTATTTATGCAAAATACAGAGGGGTATTTGCATGCGCGTCGACCATTGTTGTAAAACCCAGAGAGTTAATCAAAGTTTTTAATTGTTTGGGGTAACATTCACAGGGTTATTGGGTAATGAATGTTGCTCCTGGCCGACACAAGCAACACTCACCTGGGTAATTCTAAGTGTGTAGAGGAAATTTAGTATAGGAGGTAATTACAACAACCTTTGTATGGTGAAGAAATTACATCTTTAGACAGCCCACCTAAATTCAAAGGGAATAGCACCACTTTGGCTTAGTAAATCCATGTGACTCGCTGATATCACAGGCACATCGAGTCATACAGTAAAACGCCGACACAAAGAGACTTCAATCCTTTTTTGTTAGTATTAGAAATAAAGAAAGAGGGTTTTTTTTAGGCAGAATCGCACCACTGCAAAAACTCTGGATATAAAATCCAGAGAATTGGTGTTCAAATGTTTTTCTGTCTTTCCATCGCAGGCATCCAATCACTGTCAAATAAGCGGTGAGAAACGACTATCCTACATTAATTCATACAAAGCTATATTAAGACGAAGATTCGGTTGTTTACCGTAGCCTTCAGCTCAGTTCAACACTCATTCCAGTGTACACAAGAGGCCGTTGGCTTTAAGCTAGGATGCCTGGCACTCTTGTCAGCAGGAAGGCCACGAGCAACCGTCACTTACCAGTGGTAAGCTACCGCATACAACTTATATACTACTACTTGTACTTCTACTAAGTAATTTACGTGGTCTGTATCGTACTAGAACACCGGCTCGATACTGCAATGATCTTTCGCATGATTTTTTTTTCAAACAAGCATGCAAACAGATCTGAGTTTAACGAGCTCTGACGACACCAAAATGGAAGGAAGTTCGATACGCGCGGATAAGGGAGGTTACAGTGCAAGATGAGGTGCGCACTACAGATTCTACAGTCGAAAAGGCAGAAAACCTTTTCTTGATGTAAATTTGAGTACGCTGCTGAGATTGCCGGTGTAGCTAATAAAACGAGGAAACAAACCGCATACACACCGCCCGCTAGGCACCTGTGTCTACATGGCCAGCTCTGTTTTCTCGAAATGCATTCATTCTTTTTCAGGATCGTGAAAATAATATTGCATTATTTAAATGGTTCTGGACAATAACCTCGCCAGTCAAGCACAAAAGTAAGGGAATAGGAAACGGCGATTTTCCTGTTCTCAAGTTCAAGCATGAGTAAACAGCAACGTGTAACACTTGAAAAAGTTGTCTCAAAGCCAACGCACAGGTTCCATGCCAACACATTAACCTACATGACCACTCCCTTACTAGAAAACTACGGTTTTGAGCGAGTACGATACTCAAATAGACAACAATGGATACTTTACGGTTTCCACAAGAAACATGGCTAAGGAAATGCGTACGGGAGTTGTGAATACACCTACAACTGCAATTACGGTCGATATGATATGGCTTGGGATTAATCATTAATTAGAAATTCGAATGCAATTTTATGAGTACGATTTTTCGGGATCCCCCCAGTGAAGCGATGAGCTTCCTTCGCTATGAGCATCTGCGAGGTGCATCCGCAAAGTGCACGCTGCACTAGTGTCAATCTGCATAGCCTCGACGACATTTTTAATAGCATCCAAGCTATGTCTTGTCAGCTTGGGCAAGCAGATCGTACGCAACGAACTCCCCTCATTCCGACTCAGGTAGATTATTACCTGACACCTTGTGCTTATTTTTATAGCACTTGCGACTTTTGCAGAGCCGATGATAGCTGTTCATCGTTCAGCTTGTCACTCCAGTCCTGTGAATTCAATTGAACCGATTGAGTCCCGATAGCAGATAAGTCTGTGCAAACTGTTGCAATGTCATCACCAACGATGCATCCTCAATTATCTGCAACGTTAAGTAAGAAGTATTAGATACAATGTATGTCGGAACTATTTACACACTCGAAAATTGTCGCTTTCTCTGCAAGTAGTGAGAATGCTATTCCAATATCTAAATCTTACTACCGTACCTCACAAAATAAATGCTTACAGAAAACAGCAGTTCGGCGATATTCGCGGATAACTTACAACCACCTAAGCATTTATCAAGTAACCCTGTCGTCTTCATGAAGAAGGTTTTTCTCCAGAACAAGTTGAACAAACGGTACAAGACACGCGAACAGAGATAAATCGTGCTCAAGCTCAATCCGAATTGTGGTCTATTTGCAAACCGATCTCTTAAAGCTGACATAAAGAAACGATTTCTAAGCTCGAAAGTGAAACACTCGGTCCCTCCTGGTGAAAAATATAACGAAGAATGTGTTCAAATAATTCGATGGATTGAGGAAGCTGTATCAGTTATAAGCGAAGACCAAAACGAAAGTGGTAAGGTGGAGTACACGCTCAAAAGAGATGGTCATGCCCTACATACTAGAGCTGTTTCAAGAGCACATCGCCCGACTAAAGGACAACGACCTCTATAGGAGGCTGCTATGATGGTGAGTCTGTCGACCCAGCGTTTAGCTGGTCTCACAGGATAAGCGTAGCTTTGTGGATACGTGTGGGTGAGGGGGAAACGGCATGTTGTGCTCAAATTTCAACCCGCTAGACTATGTTGTTGGTGTTGAAGCTAACATAGGCGTAATCAGCGTAAACTAAACTCAAACCTCTTGTTTGAACTGACCAATCAGATCGAGTTTAGTGAGGTAAATCCAGGCAGAATGCTTGTGCCCCTTCAAGATGCAGCACCAGTGGGTTTGCCCACTTCAGAAAACGCTCCTCACCACAAACTAATATAAAAATATCGATGGTAGACAATCTTGAGATCTGCCATCCTCGACAGATGAAGCTGCGGGGATTCGAGCGCCTGGTCACTATGGTCGACAACGTCTCCATGAAGATTGTGCACTCGATGCTAGTGACCGGAGATGCAAAAGCTCTGCTCCGATTCCTGCCGACTGCACTCATGCAGACTTTCAACACGCACCCTCGAATGCGAGCGGTGCAAATCGAAGGCCAAGATTTTATCGCAGCAATTCAAGAGCCCTTGAGTCTCGACGACATCAGCAACAAGAACCTCCTACGAGTTCAAGAATTCTATCTACCAACGCAAGAAAATTTTGACAACTGGCAGAAGTACGTGGAAGACGAGTGCAACGTCGGATTTGACCGATACAAGCAACTCCCGTTCTTCTTAACCGTGTGGGTCGACGAGAAGGCGGGTCAAGCTCGCTTGATGCTCTTCTCGGATCACTACATGTCGGACGGGTATTCGGGTATGGTTGTGCTCAACGATATCCTTGAGCATATAGCCACACTTGCAACCCAAACGTCACCCGCTCAAACCCAAGAATTACCACTCCGTCCATCCTTTTACGATATGTGGTTGTCCAAGAAGCCACTGTTGAAAGCTCTATACAAGGGAGTTATTATGATGTTCGGGAAGACCATCTTCCGCAACGAAATGAAGAAGTTTCAGCCCGTTCTCCCAGCTCGAGCGGACCAGCACGACTTCGTGATACCACCCGTTTCAAACTCGAGCACAGCCTCGTTCGCTGAGGGCAATCCGACGTCTATGAGGAAGGCTCTCATGAAGTGCAAAGACGAAGGTGTCACCTTCGGCGGTGCAGTGGTGTGTGCTACCCTCCTCGCATTCTACCACGCCGCTAGAGGTCTCCAACGTTTTGACGCAACACAGCCTTTCAAGCTCGTGATCGAATTGGACTACAACATGCGGCGACGTGTTCCCCAACCAGTACAGGAAGATCCTGTGGGCACGTACGTCACATTTGCTAATCTGGAGCGGCTGGCCAGCGAAGGTGTTGACCTGAAAACTACCAAATTCTGGGACCTCGCGCGCCAATCGAAGCGCGAAATCGACTCAAAGGTCCGAGAAACGATGTCAATCGCTGCCTTGCCCATAATTTTCGACCAGCAGATCAACGCCAAGACACAGCTGTCGTTCGCGACAGCTCTCAACATCCGCCATTCGCAGACGTCGGATGTCAATCTCTCTAACGTGGGGCGCTATCCGTTTGCAAAAGAGTATTTACTGTCTTTAAACAACGACTGTGACAGCAAGAAGAAGCTGCTTGAAGTGAAGACTCTTCACGTATACAACTCGATGCCTCACTTGGGTCCGTCAGCGGTTCTTTGGGTATCATCGGTTGCGTCGTTCTGCTATTCCATGGGACACAAATGCGAGGACGACTCAGCTAAAGCTCTCTTTCATGCGTTTGTAGTTGTCTGTGAGAGCATTGGCAACATCGGAGCTGATGCCAGTATGGCAGACGTGCTTGGACAGCTTGAATAGGAGATACATGACCCAGTACAATTCGAATGACTCAACGTTATCACTGACAGAAAAAATACAATAAAACTGTATTTTTCAAAGTAAATTTTCATAATAAATTGTTTTTCGACGATGCCGGAACAGCTCTAAATTCAACTTTACAATGGCTTGAAAATCATTTCATTGTAGTTATCTTGGCGTGAGTTTTTTTTTTACCGTCTCACTTCTCATACCAAGCAAGCAAGCTTTAAATCAATTTGCCTCATATAAGTCAGAGATTCCAAGCGAAAGCTCGGCGTTGGCTTTAATTGGGTTACTGCGGAAACATCATTATATGTATGGTCTACTAGCGCGTCCCAGAACCTGCTAACTTATCGTCGATAACTTGTCGACTCAATTAAGCACTAGATATTAACACAACGTGCTCGAACGTAGGAAATATTTCTTTTTTTTTTAGCAGCTTGCATTATGTAGCATTATAAGAAAGAGGCACACTAGCAGAAATCGCAAACATTTCTTCATGAAATCTCGGCTTAGTCTTCTTCACAGGGCCAATTGTCATCGAGCCAATCCACAACAACTGCATCGTTACTGGAGTCCTTTCGAAGCATTCGGATGTACGTCGCAGTGAAAAAATAGGGGTAGACCGCTTGAAGAAAGAGAAGCAATTCCAGCGGAATAGAGTTCCAAACGAGCCTCCTGTCGTTTACATTGAACCAGTATCGGTGAATTTTGAACTCTGGAAACTTTCTCGCAAGCCAATACGCAATTCGGAAATGACCGTTTTGTAGGGCTTTCACGATGGCTTCCGGTGTATGAGACTCTGGGCGGTTCAAATACAGCCACTTAACCATCTCAAACTTCCCATTGTAGTACATTGCATCTGACGTACACCCCTCAGTCCGATGTGCATGTAGCCACTTTACTGCTTCTAGATGTCCACGACGTGCCGCAGTGGTCATGGCGTCGGCTCCACATTCGGCAGGATAGTTAACCTGTAGCCATTCTAGCACGTGCACATGACCGCCACTCGCCGCCCAGTAAAACGTATCACCCCACAATGAAAAAGCCTTACCGGTTCGTCTTCTCTTTAGCCCAACAGCTTCATAGCCTCCAGGAGTATCCAAAGTCTGAAAAAGCTGCAGTATGTCCAGACGACCATGCAGCGCAGCCTTTGCGATGGCGCAACTAAATGCATGCTGATCGCTAATCATATCGTTTTCTGCTATCCACTTCAAAGAGTCCATGGGGAGTGCTCCAATAGTGTAACGGTCGAATTTATCAATAACCAGTCCTTGGTCGCACAGATACTGCATCTCTCTGACATGGCCCTTGTTGGCGGCATTATAAAATAGTACTTTTTGCTGACATCTCGGCAGTTCGCCGTTCTCGTCACTTCTCACTGGGCACTGCATCAACCACTGCAAAACACGCAAATCTCCATTGGAACGTGCCCCTTTCAATGCTTTACTCCACGCATATTCCCAGCTCTGGTGGTCTTTCTGAAGTGGCGAGTGAAGCTGGAAAATCTGCTGCATGAGCTCCAAGTTCCCATGGGTTCCTAGATTACCAAAAGCAGTCGCTGAACGTTCTTCATCCCACTGCAGCTTTCCACTGTCAAACATAATTTGAATCATTTCAGGTCGCGCATCATCCGCAGCGTATTGAGCAATGGACTTGCCTGGAGGAAGTAATCTCATTGCCAAATCCATATCCCCCAGCTGCAAAGCGTGTTTAATTGCTAGCTTTCGATCGTAAGAATGGAGTACCATTCCTTCTTCCAGGCATTGAACCAGCTCTCCGTTCTCGATAGCTTTGCTGATGACTGTGGGTCCCCCGTGGGGACCCACAGGGACTCCCCAGCAGTGTCCATCCCAACCCTCATCAAATTGCACGGTGCACTTTCCTGCAACAACCGAATCGTTTTCAGTAAACACTGTAAACCTGCCAGATCGATACTCCCAAAGAAACCGCAGCACGCGGAGGTGACCTTGTCGTCCAGCAGCTATGGCTACGTCCACAGGTGCTTCGCAGTTGGAGAAATGGGCGAATAACCACTTCACTATCGCGAGGTCTCCTCGTTCGGCTGCTGCAGACAATGACTTTACAAAAACCCAGCGGTAGTAATGCGGGTCCGATCTCAGGTAATTCGTGAGAGACCACCCTTGGGTTCTGTCCTCAATCTGAACGCAACTAGCGCTCCAAATCCAATCAAGCATTGCAGTTGTTCCAACGCTACACACCTCGGTAAGGGAGAGACTCGGTGGTGGCCCGAGAAACTGGGAGATCGTTCGGCTGCTGTGCTCGAAGCTCTCCAGCTCAGGGTATCGGCGCAGCACGAAATCCACGTACGTCAGCATTAGCATTTCTTGGTCAAGAAGGGAAATGATGTTTTTTTCCGCTGTCGAAAGCTATCAGTAGTTGTAACGAATTAGGAGGGGAAAATCTGTAGTTTTTTTTTTTTTCAATAAAACGTCAACGATATTGCATCTAGTATTAAGCAAATGGAGTTTTTTTTTTAACATGTTAACCAAGCCAACGATATTGTACTAGCCCCCCATGCTGTCCTGAATTAGGTCCCGGAGTTCGAATCCTGTCCACGTCGGCGACACCACAATGGTTTGCACCACTTGCTGATTCTCGTCAAAGAAGATCAAGTGAGGAGGCTGGGCGTATTCCTTCACCTGCAGTAGCAGCATCGAAGATCACTGCTAATGTCGACATACTATTTCCTCTATACGTGACTCGTACCTCGAAGCCGACCAAGTGTTGTTGGTGGATCTCATCAACGAACTCTTGAAGATGAGGGAACGACGTGAGCTGGCACGGAATGTGGAAAGGGGCTCGAAGTTCGCCTCGGACTGCTGGTTGATCGCTCTGTGTATTGCATCGGTGCGTCACTTCTCAATCGACAAAGGGAGCGTCGCCATGTTGAAGGCATACGTACAGTCGGCTGGGGCAGCAGGTGCTGGAGCAGATCCTGATCGTGCGATGAGAGCGGCGCCGGGTCCAATTGCGCTCGGATTGGGGCCGAACAGGTCGCAGTGGATGGATTGAAACTCTGGTGCACCGCGGCACTTGATAATGGCACTGCAGTGAGCAGCACCAGCAGGCGCAAGGGATCACCTGTTCGCATCGTCGTGTCGGACAAGATGGCTACATTTGGATCTCGAACACGAATTTATCGCGCGACACCGATTCTGTAAATCGCCTGGATTTTCATCGCACAAATCAATTCTCGCAGTTTTAATCGTTTTTGTAGTCATCTTAAGAAATCTAACTAACATTTTGTCGCTCATCAGCAAATGCACTCTCACAGCTAATATAAATACGCAGGTTTCGTACCTAACACATCTTACTGATGAGCACCGCTGGCATAAGCCACCCGGGAAAGCTATCTATGCTAGGATTTGACGTGGCTGAGCTCCACCTGAACGTCGTGATCGACGTAAGCGGCCTCGCCTCTCACCACAGCTCTTGCTTGTCTTCACTTCACCTCCAAATTTCCTTCTCCACTTCGTGTTCGCCACATCACAATACTCGTCATCCCTATCCCTAGAAGCCAGCGTTCATAGTACCGTACTTTCTCGCTCATGTCCGAACCGCATACACTCTCTTCCGTCCGCATTCCCGAGTGCGCACCACGGCGGACCGACGTCCCCAGCAGCGGCAGCACGACGTCCGCCTCGCACCGCCGCAGCAGTGTGTCTCCGCCCGTGCCTCTGCTCCAGTCCCCTCGCGCCATAATGTACGACGAGCGACACGCTCCCACGTCCTCGTCGCAGTCTCTGGGCGTGTCTTCCTCCACCGTCTCGGACCCGGACGTCAACATGCTCCAAGAGGACGACCACACGCCTCCCGCCGCTCTGCGCACGTGCATGCAGTCCACTACGCGCTGGTTCCAGCTCGTCATGTTCTTCGCCTTCGTCATAGCGCTAGTATTGGCTATGGGCAGCTCCTACGACAACCTGAGCCCAGGACTCATCTGGGGCGGCGTACTCTCGATTTTCTCCGTCTTTTTCGTCATCTTATCGTACGCCAGCGTGCCCAGCTACCGCCAGCACCCTAATCCGCTTGTATTCTGGCGTACTATCGCCGACGCTGTGTTCGTGATGCAGCTCATGGCGCAACAGTTCGTGCGTTGTCTATTCTTCGATTGTGTGCCGCTCTGTAGCAGTACGAACCTGCAGTGCGGCTGCAGCACAGACAGCGGCGCTGGATCCACTTGCGAAGTGTTCGCTGGGCTCTTTGAGTTCACATTACTGGCCTCTGAGTGCTGGTTCTTCTGTATGACGGCGAACCTGCTCATGAGCCTCACAAACCCGTTCACGGACTTCAAGAGGAACACGCGCATGTTCCACTTGGGCTCGTGGTTTGTCCCTCTCGTTTTGGGTCTTTTACTAATGAACACAGACGACTGGGCTGGATATTCCGACTTGGGGGTGTGCTGGACCAACGCGCTCAAGAACTTACCGGCCGACAACATGGCCGGATGTCCTTCCGGGTACGAGGTGACAGATAATTTTACTGACTACAAGGTGGTGAACGCGAATATCATCAGTTGGCTCTTCTTCTACGTCTGGATGGGGCTGTTCATCATCTCGGGCATTGCAGTGTGGGTCTGGGCCTGGAAGAGGTTGAGCGAAGGTATGCCAGAGACTTATGCCGTGCGAGTGCAGAGTATCAACCGCGCTAGATTCAACGTGTTCGCCGTAACGTTTTACTGGATTATCGTGGTTATTGTATACATCAAGTTCTTGTCCCGCGACCGATCAAAGCCGGACAAGTCGAGTGAATTGCTGAACTTCCTCATTGCCGGCAAGGGATATCTCGACTTGGTCATCTGGTTCGCGTTGAACGACTTCCACGTTGCGCACTTTACACGCTGTCTTGGAGAAAATACAGGCGAGATCGATGTGGATCTGAACCCGCAGGTGAACGCGGCGCTACGTCGCGAAGTGCTGTTCTACACGACGTCAGGTATTATTCAAGCTGTGCAGGCAGCAGAGCGTCTCCCGGCGTCGCAGCGTATCCAGCATCTGGCTCTACTACCACAGACGAAGGCGAACGTCACGACTGCTGCGGCTTTTACAGCGGTTCCTGTTACCGAGAGCGGGAGCGCTGCACACCCATCCGCGGCTTATGCTGCGTATCGCCAACAGCAGTCGAACGATGTGGAACGTGAAGGAACGAATGGTGCTGGCGCGTTTGATGAAAACATGCGTGTGGCTAAGAATTCGCCGCGTACCAAGACCTTCCACGACTACGAGCCTCACGCTTTCAAGAAGATTCGTGAACGATTCGGCGTCAACAACGAAGCCTATCTACAGGCACTGTCAGCCACAGCGAAGGAGCGTCTGAGTGAAGGCGCTAGTGGCGCGTTCATGTTCTACTCGGCTGACGGTTCTCTTATCGTGAAGAGTACGAGCAAGGAGGAGTGTTCGTTCCTCCGCAGTATCGCTCAGGACTACGCTGACTATCTGTGCAATAACCCTCGCTCTCTGCTACTGCGTTTCTACGGTTGCCATTGTCTCGAGCTGTACGGCAAGCAGTTCTCTTTCGTCGTCATGGCTAATCTATTCGATACGGACCAAGTGATCCACTCTCGTTACGATATCAAGGGATCGTGGGTGAATCGTCACGGTGACCTACCGAAACGTGGCAAGAAGGTGACGTGTCGCCACTGCAACCGCAAGTATATTTACCAGAATTCGGCCCCGGAGAATGCGAACTGTACGGTCCGACTGGGCGGCCACGAACCGAATGTGGTGCTGAAAGACTCGGATCTTACGCAGAAGCTGAACCTTGACCGTGATGTGGCACTTGAACTGTATCAGCAGCTCTCAGCTGACACCCAGTTGCTATGCTCGTTTGGTATTATGGATTATTCACTGCTTATGGGCATTAACGAAGTGGAATACGTCGTGGATGAAGGCAACAGCACGGACGACGAGACTGAAGCGGCCCACACGCCGACCCAGTCGAGTGCACAAGGCACGAAGCCTGGAAGCAACCAACAGCGATCTTCCGTGTACAACCCGTTCACTGAGAACTCGATGATGGACCCACGCAGTGGCGGTGCGCAGAATTTAGCAAGATCGAAAGGTCCTCCGCCAGTTCAGAACCCATCCTCGAAGGCTCGTCACCACGCCAGTGTGTCCTCGAACGTGGGCTCGTATAACGCTCGGCCGACTATGGGGGAACCGGTAATGCATCGAAAAGTATCAAAGCCCCGCGAATACTCCAAGAACCGCAGTCGCAATGGACGCACTGAAAGCAACACGTCATCTTCTGGACGACGACTGCCGCGCTCTGGCATGCGCATGGCCAACACAGTTGTGGGTCCAGCTTACTACCATCTTGGTGTGATTGATATCTTGCAGACTTGGACCTTCCAGAAGCGTATGGAGCGCTTTTTCAAGATTGCGTTCAAGGGGGTCGACGGTGACGGACTGTCCGCTATCCCACCCAAGCTGTACCAGGCACGTTTCCAGCTCAAGATGGCGGATATCCTGGGTGTAGAAGACCTCGTGAGTGGCGACAACGCCGATCTGGACCTATTTACACAGCAGAACTCGCACATGGACGTGGACACGCAGCAGGTGGACCAGCAATTCAACATCCAGTCCATCCGATCACTGGCGTCCTCGGAGCTCGTAGCGATTAACCCCATGGATTCCCATTACGCGAACAGCCGCTCGTCTTCAAACTTGCGGCAACGTAGCACGGAAAACTCACAGTCTGTCGGCCAGGACACGGAGGAGTACACGGGCATTGATTACCACTTGTAGGCACGTAAGATGAAATGACGATTTTGAGAAAGCTACTCCGAGGCAGCGCGAGGTCATTGCAAATGCCAAGTTATACAGCGAAGATGATAGTGCCGACACTGTGGAGAAGTACATGTAATCACTGAACTATGCAGCTTTTCGTTTGCCACCACACGCGTCCTGGGTAGCGAAATTTTGGGGAGGGGCTGAAAGTGGCAACTTCGCTTTGATGCAGCTCAGCTTTGAATACCCTCTGCGAATTACATGTAGGCTGAAGAGTGCGCAATGCAGTGCTACGCCAACAAATGTTGCATTATCTTCACATCTTGACCTCGCTAACAATAATTGGAGAAGATTGGCCAAAGCAAGGAAAAACACGCGTGGCAATCCAGAGAATGCTCTCTATTTGCCAATCCTTGCAAGTTACAGATACATGCAGCTTACGCTTGGTGATAGACTCAAGTTTGAGCATAATTCGC